ACACACACACACACACCACACACACACACACACACACAAACTTTCCTCCTTAACGGAAACCGAGTCTGTCTTTACCCACAACTTCACAGCTTTAACGTTGGTCGAGTGGCAACAAACCTCATCCGACCGGTCGGCCGCAGCCTCGGCCAAGATGAGTTAAACTCATTTGTAAACACCTGAACTTTAACCAAGAATGTTACCAAAGTTGTATCTTAGTTTGTGGAAGTTTGGAGTAGTTTTGTCATCGAGGTGAAACCCGTCCTCGACTCAAGTCCATTCCATCCAGCGGTCGACCCCAAAGACGCAATCACCAATTTTAACATTCAAAACAGGAATCTTCTCAAATATAAATGAATATTATTATATATTAGCATATTGTGCATATATAGGCATAGGTTAGGTTAGGTGTTTAGGTTCTGTTGGCGATTATTTGTATTTGTAGTACGTAGGTGAAGCATTTACAGCGTTGTGGTTCGAACAAAAGTCGTCAGTGAAGCGCTTGTTCCGGAAGTTCGCATACAAAGATCCAAGCTCGTTAATCCAGCCGCCAAACCCCCTGTTTATGAATGAAAAACGGTTTACACACGACTCACAACTGATGACGTTCGAACACTTCTCGGAACAAGTGCTTCGCTCACGTCCTCTGTTCGAACCACAATTCTGTAAATGCTTCAGCCCGTCCTCCAAACAAAGATCCAAAAGTGATTCCATGCACCCGCCAAACCCCCTGTTTATGAATGAAAAGCGGTTTACACACGACTCACAACTGCTGACGTTCGAACATATCCGGAACAAGTGTTTCACTGACGAATTTTGTTCGAATCACAACGCTATAAATGCTTCACCCACGTACTACAAATACAAATAATCGCCAACAGAACCTAAACACCTAACCTAACCTAACCTATGCCTATATATGCACAATATGCTAATATATTATAATATTAATTTATACTTGAGAAAATTCCCGTTTTGAATGAACAGCATGTTAAAATTTATGAATGCGTCTGTGGGGTCGACCGCTGGATGTAATGGACTTGAGTCGAGGACGGGTTGCTGTAAATGCTTCACCCACGTACTTCAAATACAAATAATCGCCAACAGAACCTAAACACCTAACCTAACCTACGCCTAACTATACATAGAAATTTTATGTTTAATAATATTAATTTATCCATGAGAACAAACCAACATTAATACACAGTATGTTAAAGTTAACTAATGCGTCTGGGGATGACGGCCGCTGCTTTAACCAGCCTAGCGTGAGAACGGGTTGATTAACGAGGGTTGCAATATTTCTGGTCTGCTTTGTTCCCTGTTTGTGGTAAATGTGGGTTGGTGGTGGTCAATATTGGTTGGTGATGGTCAGTGTTGGCTGGTGGTGGTCAGTGTTTGTTGGTGGTGGTCAGTGTTTGTTGGTAGTGGTCTTTTATGGTTGATAGTGGTCAATGTTGGTTGGTGGTGGTCAATATTGGTTGGTGATGGTCAGTGTTGGCTAGTGGTGGTCAGTGTTTGTTGGTGGTGGTAAATTATGACTGGTGGTGGTCAGTGTTTGTTGGTAGTGGTCTTTTATGGTTGATAGTGGTCAATGTTGGTTGGTGGTGGTCAATGTTTCGTGGTAGTGTATCATCAGCAGCGCTGTTGACCAGGGACCGGATTCACGAAGCAGTTACGCAAGCACTTACGAACGTGCACATCTTTCCTCAATCTTTGACGGCTTTGTTTACATTTATTAAACAGTTTACAGACAGAGAAAACTTCCCAATCAACTGTTGTTATTGTTATAAACAGCCTCCTGGTGCTTCGGAGCTCATTAACTGTTTAATAATTGTAAATAAAGCCGCCAAAGATTGAGAAAAGATGTACAGGTTCGTAAGTGTTTGCGTAACTGCTTCGTGAATCTGGCCCCCGGTCAATCCATGATGATAGACCTCCAACTCCGTACACACAACGAACCAATAGTTTTCTTCTCGTTAAAATCGTATATGTTGCTAAGTGAGAATGAGCTAAGTTAGCCTAAACTGTTAGATTCGGTTTGAGTTAGGCTAGATTAGGATGTATTAGCTTAGATTCTTCTCGATTGGGTTAATAATTTTATTAGAAATAAAAGCCAATGTTTACCAATTAATCTGTGGATCTTTTTTTAAAATTCGACCATAACATTGTTTAA